AAAAATCATAAATGTGGGAAAGTCGATTTCAAGTAGACTTGACGACAAATTCAAATCTGTTTTTAGAATTCTTATCGCTTCATTAGATCAATTGGTATATTTGGCAAAAAACACGTCTAAATTACTATGTCACGCGTGTGTCAGACAAAAACAGAAAATGACGGTATCGAATCCCCTTCTGATTTTTATTGCTAAACATTTATCAAATAATGAGTTACTTTTAATCAAGTCCTAGTTGCGTAGTTTGTTTATAAAAAATTAAATAATAAATATAGTAAAAATTATTATTATCGATGATGCTACATTTTTTTTTTTATATCAAAATTTACTTTTTATTATTTAAAAACCAGAAAACTGGCTATTTATGTACATAAAAAAAAATAAATTGGTTGTAAGTTTCCAAATCAATTTTAATTTAATTGAATTAAAAATAAAATTAGGAGAACTATTAACTTAAAACTTTTTGAAATGTTTCATATCGACTTAACTTAACTCAGTTAAAAATTTTCATTAACTAGCCCAGGCTTGCAGTTATTATTATACTAAATTATTTTTTACACATAGGTACTCACATAACATATTATCTAACTCAAATTTATTGCAATAATTATTTATTTTCTTAAACACAATATTTCAGGAATTAATATATTATAAATTAACTAATAATTAAAATAATTGATTTGAACGATATTTATAAAATATTGAAATAAATTAAACACACTTGCTAATCAGTAATGGTAACTAGTCCCTGTGTATTAAACTATTGTTAAAATAAAAATGAACCAGTAGCAGAGTTCTAGTAGATAACTAACTTGCTGTGTCTAGTGAAGAAACATGACTTTCGTAAGGCATACAACTTATACGTTCTTGAATAAAATAGTTAAGACACAAATTAACACATAATAACTACGTATAGGTAAGATAAAAGCTAAAACTTAAAGAGATTATTTTAGCTATATAATATCTGTAATTTCTAATAACAAATAGCTCATACGTATATTGTTGAACATTTTACTATAGGCTGCGTTTTTTTTAGAGATGGTATTCGTCAGTGAAAATTTGGAAATGTTGAATACAATGCCATATTATGCAGTGTAAAATGTGTTGACGTGAGTGTTTCAAAGACTTAGTTGTATAGCAGAAAACATGTGGTAGGTACTTTTTATTTTTCAGTAGATTTATTTAAAATTGTTAAATGATCAGAGTTTGTATTGCTCACAACTTTTCAATTTAATTGTATTGTAATTACTGGTATAACGTTATTCCGACTATCAATAAAACCATGAAACAAATTAGGAAATTGGTCAGGTATGAAATTTTTTTTAGTAATATTTAAATATTTTCACCGATTATCAGGTACAATGACCTGTAGGTACAATAGATAATGTGAGAATAGAAAGTGTATAAGACGGGGATAAGAGGGTCCCGGATTTTAAAAGGTGCTATACTAGTTGGGTCCCGGATTTTAAAAGGTGCTATACTAGTTGGGTCCCGAATTTTTAAAGGTACTATACTAGTTGGGTCCCGAATTATTGTAGGTATTCCACTAGTTCCTGAATATTTTTTGGTAAGTACTACACTATACTAACATTTTCATTCTCATTTTAACAGACTGTCTATGATCTATTTAGACCACAGGTATGGTTAAAAATGTTTTTTACAGTTTTTTTTTAAATTAAAGTATAAGTAATTGAAAGTTAGTAAAAATATTATAATAATTGAAATTATTATACAATAATATTAATACAATTTTATTAAATTGAAGAGTAAATGAAAAGTACTTATACGTATATAATATGACTATTGGGATATTCGTAATAAAAAAAGACGTAAGTGGTTTTCGAGCATTCGTGTAATAATTTCAGTGTTATCGGTAATATCTGATAATTTTTGACATATCTTATAATAAACTATCTATAACAGCGATAAATGCCGGTTAAACCTCGACGAGTTGGCTAAAAAAAAAAAGTGTAAAAAGCATTTTTAACCTTACCTATGGTCTAAATAGATCATAGACAGTCTGTTAAAATGGGAAGGAAAATGTTAGTATAGTGTAGTACTTACCAACAAATATTCAAGAACTAGTGTTGTAGCTAAAATAATTCAGGACCGAACTAGTGTAGTACCTAAAATAATTCGGGACCCAACTAGTGTAGCAATTATAAATTTGGGACCCAACTCGGATGCAGCCTCTTGAATTGCAAAGACCACTCGACCAATTAGCTGAAACTACCTAGTGATAGGTTGAAAACCTTGACTTATGGGATAGAATAAAAAGATCGGTAGGGGATGTCAGAGCACTGTTTGCTCTCTTTGCCCCACACACAACAAAATAATTAATGTATGTTTAACAGAACCAACCATATTATATTGTTACTTTAATAATGATTGGTTATGCTAAACATAAATTTGCTTTGTTGTGCGTGGGACACAGAGATGGTGCGTTAAAAATCTGACATCCTCTCAATAATGTCATCAAGTTGAACAAGTTGTATATTGTAGTCAGTTAACATTTTCTGTGTTTAAAATAATAATGACGTATTATTATGTCAGACCACTGTTTGTTTATCTCTTTGACCCATGCGTTAGAACCAACTCTATGTAATATTTTACTACGTTTAATATTTAAAAAATATATATATAAATAATAATATATTATTATAATTACATAATTAAAAGTTTAAAATAATATTTAAAAATGCTAGTAAAATGAGTGAAAATTAAAAATACCTATCGTACCTCAGGTGTGACAATGTTTACTTTAACTGGTGACTGCTTGGAGGCATATATACATAATTTTGAAGGTCACAAATAGTTGTTTTAATATTAATGTGATAATATGAAAATATGGTTTAAACTTCAAAATTACCTTAATTATGATCACATTATTATCACATTAATTATTCGTGGGTCTGAGAGATAGAAAAAGAAACAAATAGTGAAAAAAGTCTGATATCCTCTTTATTGTTATCAAGTCGAAAAATCTGTAGATTTTTGACAGTTGACATGAACTGTGATTAATATATTAAAAACGAAAGTATGATAGAAAGTAAAAGAAATAACTAAGAAGTGTTAACTGTTAAGATAGGACGTTAATGATAAAATAACACACAAAAATGTCCTAAAAACAATTAAAAATTAC